TTATTATTATTATTATTATTATTATTATTATTATTATTATTATTATTATTATTATTATTATTATTATTATTATTATTATTATTACTATTGTTATTATTTCGTAATTTATTTTAAAAATTAATTTTCTTAAATCACTGGCAATTATTTTAATTCAATATTTATTATGCGTTAGCGTTATTTAATTGAATATTTAAAGTTTAATTAATTAAATTAATATTTTTTATGTAAATATAAATATATAATAATTAATTAATAATAATCATAACTATTATTATAATTATTATTATTAATAAATGCTTAAAAATTAAAAAAAAAAAATTTCTTCGTCGTTTTAATAATAAAAATAATAGGTATTTAATATGTGTTTATTGAACCGTTTTTTATAATTCAGTAAATAGACGTTATAGACCCTCACATTTATTTTCCTAATAATAACAATAATTTTATGATTAAAAATAAATTTATGATTAATAATTAATTTATAAACTTTAATATATAGTTAACGAGTTTGTACTCGAATAGTTAATAAAGTTTATACTAATTATATGCATGAATAATACTCACACTAAATATTTAATACATTGACTGCTTATATGTATGTACGTATGTAGAAGACCGGAAAGCGATCGAGTGAAAATTTACGACCGCGACCACAAGTTACGCTCTAAAATATATATATATGCGCGTATAATGTATATAAATATAGGAAGCGACGAACCACATAACGAGAAGCTCGCGTGACGTCAGAACGTACAAAATGTATTCCAATAAAAACAACAACGGCCCAATTCAACCAAGTCGTCCATTAATCCGGTTCTTCGTGTCCCTTGGGACAGATAGATGATCCACCTCTCGTCGATCTCACGATCCCATAGGATCGAACTGGTTTCTCCGCTTTACACACACTCACACACACACAGTATTTTCTCTCCGCAACAAACATTCGCTTCGGGAGTAAACAGAAAAAAAAGATTTCGAAAAAAAATAATTTCAGATCCCGGACAGTGTTGAGCGCGCAAAGGTTCAATCAGAGTGAATGAGAGAGGGAGCGAAGAACTGTTGGAAAGCAGGTATCGTGTTGCTACACCGATCATTAGAGAAGTCTCAGTGATTTTCTTTTGGTTTTATTTATTTTTTTTGTTTTTCATCGCATTCATCTCATCGTGCACGGATTACAGAAGCAATATACCCAAAAAAAAGATTCAGCGCCTCTGGGTGAATAACACGGTTTGGTTTTTTTGTTTGTTCGAACGTCTGGTCGACGGACGAAGAAAGGAATTTTTTCCATAGTCGAGAGGGAGAGGTGAGTTCATGTTAGCTATTAGCAAGTGCCATTGATCGGGATTACAATTTTTTAAATTTTTTTTAGAAATATTTATACGAATAGAAACAACCAACTGTTTGTGACTAGCAAAAAATGATGATAAAAATTACTACAATTACCAGTAACTATTAATAACTGTAACTACCAACAGTTTTTGTAATTTTTAGTAAAAATAACAACCAGCTATTGTAATTTTTAGTAACAATAAATTTCAAAAAATAGTTTTTAGCAACTATAGTTACAGTACTAGTATAGTAATACTTTTTTTAATGGTCTCAGTTGTTAGCAGTTTAGTATAACATCACTAAAATTTTTAGAAGTGTTAATTGCTTCTAATTGCAGTCGTTACAAATGTTGGTTAATATTTTTGCTGGAAATTATTGTTGCCTTTAGTTATATATAGTTATCATGAACTGTTGTCGGTAGTATTAATAACCTTTAACTTTATCATCAACTGAAACTATTTGCAACCATAACTATCCACAACTACAACTACTGGAAGCACTAACCATCAACAATTAACTACTAACATCCGTAACTATTAGCAACAGTAACAATTAACTTTAAACAGTATAGAATTATATTTCCACTGCACCAATTTCTGTTGCCACTGATCCGGGTGTACTTTTGTCTGAAGTACTGGGAAAGTGGCACCTTTGAGAGTATTTCGAGAGGGACAGTTGTTTCAAATATCCGTACACTTCACACTCGTCGTTCAACTGTTATTGGTGCTATATTGTACGCGATTACGACGCTTCCAACTATTAAGACCATTTTCTGCCTTTTAAGAGCACTAGGTTACATTATTACTTGGAAGGCTTACACAAAACGCTTCCCGAGAAGTGGTGCAAGTTACGATCTCCTGGAACAAGAGAGGATATATAACCAGAGTCGTTAATCTCAGCACATTTCTTCCCAAACATATATGGACGTCAAAATGTTTCCTAATAATCACAATTTTACTTTCTGTTTTCTATATCATTAAAAACGAAGGGTTCACTTTAATTATCATCTTCCAGTATACAACGCACTTGTTTTATGATTAAGAATTTACATCATCGTCATCATCTTCTTCTTCTTCTTCTTCTTTTTCTTCTAAGGCGTTTTTCATCTTTTCATTAATTTAAAAAATAAAATCAACGTCAGATACATACAAGGATAATAATAATATTCCCGGAATAGTTTAGGAAAATAATCTCTCTCTAAATGAAATATGCACTCCTTTAAAAGCAACTCTCTAGAATTTGTATTAAATATTTATCATACTTAATATCCGTTTGAAAATCTTTTTCTCCCTTTAACACAAATTGATTCAATATTCCATAAAACAGTTAAACGAATCTTCCAAGAATAGAAAATCCATGAGAAAAATAACTTAGAGAATTTAATTAAGAAGAAAAAAAACAGTTAAAATCTAAAGCTATAATTAAAATCAATGGAGCAAAAGTCATTAATAAAAGCAGTAAAATTAAACATCGGAAGTGAATTTTCAAAATTTCCTCTACTCTACTATCTATTTTCGACGATCCATTATTATTCCACAAATATTATTTTTATATGAAATTAAATAAATGGTTATACGGAAATCGCGGGCATATTTGCAAATTCATGAGAGGTTAAACTAATAAACGTTTGAATACCGCAGCGTCTCTCTAGAGTAAAAGATGGTTTTCGTTTTGAAACTAAATACCATCGACACAGGGGGTCATTATTATCGAGTTTTGAACCTGTCGACTTATAGTCGTGAATTCCCCTTTCGAGCAGCGTTAGTGTGTCTGTGTGTATTACTCGCTTAGAATAGATATTATTCCCCTCTCTTTGCCCTTCAACTCCCCTCTTCATCTTGAAAAGATGGCCTATGAACGAGCTCCTGTGGGTCAAGTTATTCCAGTGTAAAACTTAGCCTCATAAGAAGTTGAATGTATTCCCTGACACGCTAGGCGAGGCAGCGAATTCGCTTCCGGAATTATGGTGTATTGAACGTTTACGGTCACTGACTGCGATATTACTTTCCGATAAGTATTCTCGAATATTTTCGAGAGAACTCGTGATTATTCAATGAGAATTCAAGACTCGTATAGTTTAAAGTTCTGTTAGGTGTATTTCTTCATGAATTTTTCAAAAACTTTGAGAAGGGATTTTTTTTCTTAGCGGTATTATCGAGAGCGTTTTGTTATTATTATCATCCTAATGTTTTAAAATTTTATTGAAATCCACAATAATTTAAGAAAATTATTATTCTGGAGATTGCAATCACCGAATTTGAATTCAATCAATCAAATACAAATACTAAATTTCCAAATAATACATTTAGAATTGCACAAAACCCTAAAGAATATAAAAAAATGTTCAGGTAGTCACGAAACACTTGCATGAATTTTGCATCAAGAATGCAAAAACGATTAGTTCAGAAATAATTGGTGGTGGTAAATTGTGGTTTCTACATCGTAGCAGGATTTACCTAGGAAGATGACTTCCGAGATTAGGTGCACCTATATATGCTCATGAGATGTTGTATCTCCACCTATAGTTCATCAGTGCGAACAGGTTAAGCACATGCTAAGTGCTTGGAGTGAGAGAGAATAGTGGTCGAGTTATTTATAGCCTAATACGGTGGTTTCGGGTCGTTGCTATTCATTCTAGTCTACGTCGGTGGCAGCGACCCGTAATAGTTTGATTGCTTAGGCAAGCCACGTATATCGCGAGCAATAATCGGACGGAAGTTAGGAGTGACTCGCAGCTGGCGTCCGGAAACACACCCATTCACTCTTGCACGCCTTCTCCTCAAGCATACAGATACTGAAACTATCTCTCTCTCTCTCTTTTTCTCTATCCCACTCTCGCTTCCTTGTTGTACAAGAATACTGCGAATACTTGGTAGTCACGCGAGACCGATCAAATAAAGAGACTTTGAAGGCCAAGAGCCTTAAGGTATCCAGAATGCAAGAAATACTCAAAACGCAGCTGCTTCAACGGTCAATTGCACCCATGATTCTTTCTAAGCATTTTTTTTCGTTCGCAATTTCCTTTTCTCTGATTTTAATTTAGAAGCTTTTTGTATTAAAATTGCTTCTTCTACTTCTTCTTCATTAAATTGGTATTAAAATACAATATTTAAAAAATTCTAATAATAGATATTGAGTTCTACAATTATTATTGGTATTCTCATAGTAGAATTTGTAGCATCATGTAAATTGTAGATGATTCTGAAATTTGCCGGATGCAAGGGAATTTTTCCTATTGGTAGTTTAACTAACATATTTTTAACCAAGAATACTTAAGAAACAAAATTTTAATGTAAAAAAATACAGACTCCACTTGTTTACGTTGCAGATTATTTGAATAAACTACCTAGCATCGGCCATCTTTGTTTTAAACAAGTGGCGCCTCTCTGTCTACAGAGGAATTGTTGCGAAAATAAAAAGCAACAATCGGATATAGAATAAGGAAGTTTTACTTTACTGAAAAAGTGGGACACTTCTCCTTTGGTGTAAAAGATGCTAGCGCGCTCTGTAAAGAAAAGCGCCTCGACTAATGGTTCATATCAGCTCGTTGCCATTTGCAATTTGAATTGCAGACATTTTGTCCGCCGATTGCAAAACACGAAAGAGAAACACCTTCGTCCAGATGGAATTTTAGGTAGTGAGAAAGAAAGGTAGTTAGGAATAAAACTCACCGAAGCATTCTCTCGTGTCGATCCCTCTCCAGCAGTTCCTCGGGACTGGGCTGCGTCGGAGCAAGAAGCGCATGGGGAAGTGGCGGTGGATATCTGGGCGGTCGCCAAAGCATCTCGGTCGCGACAACTGGATGATGATGACCTTGAGGATTAGAACTCTGATAACCCAGAGGTGGAACTGAGGAAGACGTGGAGCTCGCCGCGGGATTTGGCGGACCCTGGGGATGGGCCATCAGAAGTGAAGTGTGCTGAACGCTTTGAACGTGCCAAACCCTCGCCGGTGTAGCGGCGGGCGCCGTTTCTTCGGCGCTGAGGGCAGAACTTCGACTTCCGCTTCTCTCGTCACCGGAACCGGCACTTCTCAATGAGCTTACACCACTGTCAGAGCCACTGTCACCGTAGGTGGTGGCAGCCCGTAACGTTCCAGCGGCAGCAACGCCACCGAGAACGCCTCCGCCTGGTAAACCAACTCCGGCCCCGGCCTCCACCTCCATGAGGCCGGCCTCATCGCCGCCCTGCGATGGTAGCGACTGCTGTTGCACCTCGAGGAGGCTAGCCGATGTCAAATGGTGGTGGTGAGGACTGCCTGGTATTTGTAAATGTTGCTGATGAATCACAGGACTTCCGGTTGAGAAACGATGGTGCAGAGACTGATGATGATGATGGTACTGTAAATGATGACCCGATATGGGTGGCGGTGGCTTATTCAACCTCTCGGCTAAGATGACGGGGCTTTCGTTGTGACGACTTCGTTCCTGCTCCTCCAGGAGCAGGCTTTGCCGCCCACGGCCGCCTGGCAACGGACTCAGCCTCTCCAGCACGGAGCTTGAGTCCTGACTACTGGACTCGAGCAACTCTACGGACTCAACACTTGCCGCTCTGGCACTGCTGCCCAAACCACTGTCCTCGGTAGTGTCAACTCTCGAATCCGGCCTGCCGGGTGCACTAGACTCGCGCGACTTCTCCTTTTCCTCGTCCTCTTTTCTTTCCTCCTCCTTCTTGGACGATTTTACACAATTTACAGGTGACGTACACCCGAGGCGTTTATTTTCGTCAGGGGTCGCTTCATCCGACAATGAACCGTTGGACAATCGTTCCTCAAGAGCTTGCGTCGATGATTTTGTATCAGGATCTACGGTCAAAGTCTCACTCGACTCAACGTCCTTGGAAGGTGGAGGTTCTGGTTCCCGATCACGTTCTCTGGATTGACTCTCCTCGTTCTCGACCCGTTCGCCCTCAGTTTCAGTCTTTAATTGCTGGAATACTTTCTCTTTGACAGTTTCTTGAATGTCAGGTTCAAAATCCTTCTTCTCTGATTTTGTCTTACGGGGTGTTGAATTTGCCTTCAGACGCTTTATCAACGGATCACAACATTCATCCTCTTCGTCACGATTCTCCACCTCCTCCTCCTCGGACCTACATTCAAGCCGTTCTTTCTTATCCTCTTTAACTAACAGCTGCTCCTCCGGCGACTCGTATTCCCCACTGAGTTTTAATTCACCACCTGGCCGAGGTTTTTTTCTCACCGGTCTTTGTGAAATACTCTCCACTGGACTCTTTACCGTTGTCCCACGACGTCTTAATTTCGATAAACTACCAGGCGCTGGATTCGCCTCTTCCAATACAGTTCTGGGCGTTCGATTCCCTTGTCTCCCAGCAGAAGGTCCCTTATTCTCCCGATCTTCCTGTCCCACTGAAAGAGTCTCCTCCGATTCAACTTGAGTCCTTTCGCCTTTCTCACGACTGGCACTTTCACTATTGCGTCTCCGGCGATTACCGCGTGTATTACTCTTATCTGAAACAATTTCAAAAAAACGAAAAACGTGAGTGATAATTTCATAATTTTTTCTTACTAATTACATTTTCTAATCGCTACATTGTCAATAATAATGATTGTTATTGACACATAAAATACTGATAATTCTTATCTTTCATAAATCGATAGTTGATCCATCGATATGGATCAAAGGAGACAAGACTTGAAAAATTACACTTGGAATAAAAAATCAATTCTGATCTAATTTCTTTTTCTTTTTTATTGACGATCTTCGGGAGATTGGAATTAATAGAGAATATACGACACATGATATTACGTTGTTCATTACAGACTATCAATTTTAGTCAGCTGACAGGCGTGATGTAATGACTATCGGAACGTATTAGGGAACTTGGTTTACGAGGCTAATCCTTCTGATACCCGCAGCTAGTGAATCACAAACTATATATATGCGGGCAGACACGCTACTTAATTCTCAGCGGGAATTCCTCTCTGTTTCACAAACCAACAATACGAGAAAATTCGAATCAAGAGCTAAACTCGTTCGATAAATTCAATTCCCTTAATTCCGTGTATACAAACATAAGTATGGAATCAACTTGGCTCAACTTGGCCCTGGCAGGTCAGGGGTATGGTCAGTCTGGGCCAGGTTTGTCAATTTCTACAAGGGAGATCAGGCCCACTAGGGACAAATGAAAAACGCCCAACTTGAGCACGAATACCATCAGGGTCTATCCAGTTTTAATAATTCTTTCTGTAAAATCTGATTTCAGGGGATCATAAAACAATGTAACGAGAATAATCAAGTGCCTGAAATCATTTCCAGGCACTTGTGAAGAAGAGATTTTTAAGAGTACTCGCGAATGGAGTCTGCAGTTGAAGTATGTGGCTAACTCGGTACGTGCGGTACATGTCCGGAGCATGGGAATAATTTACAATATACACGGAGGTTAGAGAAGCCGAGGCTGAGCGAGAAAGAGGGAAGAAGAGCAAGAGAGAGTAAGAGGGAGAGAGAAGAGGGATTTATTGCTCAGAATTTACTGTTATTACCCAGAGGGGCAGAGCCAGCTCTCTCGGTGCCACTCCAATGACTAGCACCGTTGCATATTATGCGCGGGGGTACGTTTCCTCCTTCTCATACCTTCAATAATCCGACACATGTTCATTTCATTTATGCAGTTGACAGAATAACTATATGTACGCGAAGATAACGTAGAAATCGAATTAAAGAAAAATTCCGTCAATTCGAAGATCAGAATTTCGATTCGTACAAGATAGGAATAATTTTAAAGACAGTTTCCAATATTGAGCCAGGATTCGTCCGAGCTTGAGTGTTTCTTGCCCAGACGAATGTTTTGGTTATGGAACAACTTTTATTGACAAGATGTGCCCAAGGTATTGGATACCAAATCACAAGGATAAATACTGCAGCAAAATTCGTTTCACAAGTTTTGCTCAAAATTCAATACCGAATCTAGTGATTGAATATTAGATCACTTTTAACGCGAAGATTAGCCCAATGGTTCAATGTTAAATCTCAAGACAGAAACTTGGATTACAATTTATTGCCAAGTTTGGCCACATTGGGGCAATGTTGGTAAGATTGTTTCTCAGATTCTGATCGAAATTACAATCGGAATCCCGTTGGAAAATATTTTTAAACTTCCGATACAATCTTCAAACGACTTTCTGGCTAATTTTTCTCCAGGATCGAAAATAGATTTTCTTTTTCAATTACCATACAACTACAATGTTGGTATTTTCAATAGTGATAAATCATCGTTTTACAGTCTAATGAGCTGTCAGATTCTATTTGCTAATCGTTAATAGTGTTTTTCTCTTCAGAGTCATCAAGATTCTTAGCTTCTTGGTGAGTTCGCGGTTATAACGTACGCCTGTCAGGTCATCTTAAATCTCCTTCTCCTCGAACCGTTACATGTTACGCAAACAACGCAAATGTAATTGAAAATCAAGAGGAGACGATCTAAATGCAAAACTATAACAGGTTCGATATTTTATTAGCCAACAAGAATTTCTCTTTTCAAAGAAGAAAAAAAAATGAAAAAAAAAATTCAACTTGGAAAGTTGTTACAGAAAGTGTCCTTCTACATTCTGCATCGCAAAATTTCAAGAATTCTTTATTCCTAATTTTCTTCAATTAATAAAAGAATTTTCAGTCAAATTTACAATTCCTGGGGAATTCCAAATGGAATCACTTTTCTGAAAATCTTTTTAACTGGAATTATTATTATTATTAGAATCTGAATTGTAATTAGATATTAGAATCATGTAAAATTTATCATAGTCTGAATTTTATTGAAATTTTCTCGGAAATAAAAAGATTCAAAGAAATTTGTGAAGAAAATTACAGGAATTTTTTTGTAAATTTAGAAAGATGAAAGTAAAACGAAAGGAAACAAAAATATAACAAAGAATTTTTGAACAAAACTAAAAATATGTTTTGTATTAAAAAATAAAGTGAATTCGTTGAAAATATGCATGTATATAAAGCATTAATTGAACAGTCTCTCTTTCTCTCTCACACACTCTTTCTCTCTGACGTTGATGAATTCCATCAGAATGTGCCAAGGAGTAAAGAGGATTTAACGTGACCAGCGTTGCGTTGAATATCGAATGACGGATTATGCAATAGCTCTCTCGTTCGCGGTGGTGGAGATTCACAAAATATTGGCATGGCAATATATAAGGTTTCCCGTTTTCCCTTAATGAATTTCAAATCCAATCACAATTTTCCATTAAACTGTTTTCGCTTTAAATTAATTTTCCACTTATTTCATTCAAGTATCATTATTATGTATTTCATTCAATATATCATCGTTTGTAAACAAATTATCAATATGTTCCAAATAAAGCGATTTTTTTAAATTTATTCATATTCTTTTTTACTGCTATTACTACTATATTTAATATTTTTAATTATGTATATTATTATTCTTTTAATAATTTGATATTATTTATTATTTTTAATATTTACCATTATTTACTACTACTTTTTTCTAAACACAATATTTTCAGACTTATAAGCTACTGAAAATAGGTCTACATTCGCAAATCCAAAATTTTGAAAATCCATAATTCGAACATTTGAAAAATTAAACAAAAATAAAAAGATACGTATTTCATACTTTTCTATAAAGCCCGACATGGCCCTGATCAGGAAATCCACATTTGATCGTCGCCCCGATCTGGCCCAAGTCGGGCCGTGTGTTTCATTCCCTTATATGGCCATAGTAGGGAAATTTCTACACGGGAAATTACATATGAAATAGCCCATGTATATTATGTAATTTTAATGTTTTAGACAATTAAGTTAATATTTTTCTTTATTTAATATTCAAGGTAAAAAACATTATTTTGCTTTTTGTTCTAATGTTTTTATTGGTTTCTTCTCTCTGCACTTTTTCTTTTGCTATCTTTATTTCCAAGCGTGCTGCTATCTTTATTTTCATAAATAAATATATATATATATGTGACGCTCCACGAGAAAAGGGACCTTAGCTGCAAAAAAATTAATTTTGAGTTATTTATATCATTCCGTACTTTTTGAGTTGCTCTTTCATATACAAAAGGCAAAAATAATTTCTACTTACAGGTTTTTTTGTTATCAATGTTTAAAAATGAACCTTTTAAATGTTTACACCCGGTTGTTTAGAAAATCAGCCCCTCTACTTTCTAACACAACTACACAGGTTATGTACGTACAACTCATGCGCTTCGTGTAACATGGATAACTATCAATGTGAAGTGAGTAGTGGGACTGACTTTCAATGAAACGTCTTGACCAATCAGAGTGGTTCCACTTTAAATGCCTCTCCTGCAAAATTCGTCTGTAAGTCATAAGGTCCCTTTTCTCGTGGAGCGTCACATATACATATATCCACGGATGGACTATCTCACCTTATATTTTCAAAGAAGTCTTAAAAAAAGAAAATTTGTTTACGTCCGACAATAAAAAAAAGAATGAAAGAAGAGAAAAAAAGCACCTAGTCGTGTTCACTATTCCTTTTTTTACAACTCTTTGTCATCGAAAATTCGTGCCATTTATGTCTTCGCGTGTGCAACTCTTTCAACAAATTTTATCTCTCCATAATCGGAAAGAAACAAATAATGCAAACTATTTCTCGAATGACTCAACAAAATGAAGTCACGTTTGTTCCGATTTCGAGGCAAAATATTCGTATAGGACATTATAAGGAAATAAAACCATCACTACGTCCTTTTTGTTCTAGACAAACACAAATCAAAGACTTGAAACAAAAATAGAAATAAAAAAAAAATAAAATAAAATAGAGAAAACAAAAAATATTTAGAGTACATTGAAACAGTTGTAGAATGACCTTTAACCCTTTTTATGTGTACCCTTGTTGCTCGGCCATACGAAACTAATATCAAGTCTCAAGTGGATAGTCGGGGTCGAATTTGTACTTTATCCCTTTTATGTGGTTAATGACCAACCCACCAAAAACTGTTTTATCTCTCCCTCTCTCTCTCTCTCTTTCTCTCTTTGCCTGGATTTTCGACTACCCACTTAAAATTCGCTCTTATTTCTACATTTCGCCAAAATGTTCACTGCTCCTAAATATTTTAATGAGAGTTTCATTAACGTTCCTCTAAATTACGTCGTTAGGTGAAAATAAACTCGATTTTAATATCGAGTAATAACCTATTGTAATTTATTTCTCAAAATTTATTTTTCTATTTTCATTAGTCGCTTTATTAATAATTCATTTACAGTTAAAGAGAAATTATTTAACAGTTGTCTTTTGAACTTTTCTTTTTTTTTCCTTTTTTACTTTCACCAAAAGTAAAAAAGGAAACAAGGAATTGGAATATTGGAACCATTATCAGCGCCAAGATTAGTCCAAGGTTGAATCCGAATTATGTTGATTGAATATTGGATAGAATTTTATCGCCAAAATTCAATGTTTAAGGCTCAATTTCAAGGTTAAATAGTGAGTAAGAATTTATCGTCAGGTTTTTGCAAGAATATGTAACGA